TGCGGGCTGTGGGAGGACCGGAGTCATCTGTGCTCTCGACTACATCCATGACCTGCTCGTTACCAAGGTAATGCATGATAACACGACACAGAAACATACTGCAGTACTTGTACTTCACTTGTGCTCTGTCCTGTGTATTTTCTCCATTCATGCCGCATCAGCTCTGTGTTCATTGTCACTCGCAGCTTCCTTCCTGTATTGATGCTCATATAAAAGGAACTAGGAACCTTTGGAGGAACTCACAGGGTCTAGATTTAGTTCCAGGGTCTTTATTTTACCCCCCATAAAGTCCCTGCTTGAGGGGGTAGTACTTTCTAACTACTAAATTAATGAAGATTACTCAACCTGCAGCAGTCTCTGTGTATTTTAATTTATTTCCCCGTTAGTCTCGCCGACTCTCCACTGCTCTGGTTCTTGATTAGGGATCAGGGAGTGTCGCACTGACTCCTCAGCAGGGATTGAGCGCAGCTGGCAGATTCGGGATGTGGCGACGTCCATTCTGGAAGACATAAGAAGAGGGTGGTACCTGCACACTGTGGCTCTTTCCTGAAGCATTCTGAACCCTACCAAACCCTAGCTCTGTCCTTTGGGACGTGCTGAGCTCCCTTTTGCTGTCTCCTTTGTTAAGTGTTTGAACAAATAAGAGAACTGTGGCCTTTAGTTCAGAGTGGACATGGAGCAGCCCTGGTGTTGTTTAAATAAATAGAACTACCTTGGTACTTGGTACTTTATTGAAAAGGCTTTTTTTTCTATTCATATATTTGTAGAACTTTTCTCCAAGGGGGACACTTTTTCATTTACAATGTGGGAACCGGGCTTCGGTCACCTCTCCTCTGAGGCCTGTGAAAAAGTACCGCCACAAAACAGAGGGAGTAAACATGAGCACACAGCTGTGGACAGCTGGGCTCCACCGACATCCCTGCTGACCTGCTGCTGCTGCATCAGCCCCGACTTTATGCCCCACCCTGGTTGATGCATCACCTGCAGAAACCAAAGCACAAGGCTTTAGAGCCATAACAGTGAACTTTCCAACCCCAAATCATTTCACTAGTACTGAAAAGTCAGATTTACTGTAAGTTTTGTTCGGCTACAAAGGGTTAATGATGACTATCAGAAACTGAGGTGTGCAGCGAGCAGCAGCTCACGGCGTGTCTGTCTCCTGCAGCAGATCACAGCAGACTTCAGCATCATGAGCATCGTCCTGCAGCTCCGGAGGCAGAGGCCCTCTGCAGTCCAGACCAAGGTAGGTGAGGGGGGGTAATTAATTACGTTATTAGTTTATCAGTTTCTACCCCAGAGCCACCTGACTTTCAGGACCGATTGTATCAGAATGCTTCCTTAGAACACTTTTAGCTGAACTACAGATAAAACCAAAGCGCCCCTGAACCCGCCTACAGGCTGACCGACCACTTCCTGTTGCAAGAAAATGCTAAATCACTCAAGAGTGACGAATAAAACAAAACGTATGTGACCTCATTTTTCAGTTTGTGGATGTCTGTTACAGTACATGTGTCATGGGGCGCTGAGTGCAGAAGCTGAGAACTAAGGTGTGGACCCAAATGCAGACTGTAGGCGAGGTAGTTGCAGTTCGAATAAAGATTTATTAACACAAACTAAACAGGCTTACGCTGGGAGCTCAGCGGCAAATGTTCAAAGAAAAGGGTACTCCAAACAAAACATAATCCAAAGGGAAGAATCCAAGAACAAAGTACAAACCAATGAAGTAATCCAAAAGGGCAGGGAAGGCACAGAACACAGACGACACAAGGACGTGACAAAGACTGGAGACACAAGCAGGCATACATATACACAGGGACTGACGAGCGGGGCGGGAGCAACACAGGTGAGGGGGATCAGGACTAATGAGACAGGTAGAGAGACAGCAGGGGAAACAGACAGATACCAAGGCCATAGGGAAACTAATAATAACCAGGAAGAAACAGAATATAAATAACTGAACCAGAACATAAGCAGACAGATCACTAATATACCAAAAAACACAACTAACAGGGAAAACAGACTGAACTAAGATACCAATCTAGGAACTAAGATACGAGACAGATACTAAGTAACTTAAGGATGCAGATGAATAATAATAATCACAGGGCTAAGAACTAACTAAACAAGACGACACAGAGAAACACAGAACCAAAAACGGTCTTTTATTTATTTTTTTTTAAACGGACTTAAACAGGAAACATAAACACAAAAACCACATTCCTAACAACATGTGTGTAAGGTCAAAGGTCAACAAAAAGAAAAGAAAACTCAGGTGAGTGCAGGAAGGTTTCCGACGTCTCCATCAGCCGTGTGGCTCCGCCTTCCTTTTGGACCCCCTCTACACACCTGCAGTTCGCCTGTAGTTCGCCTGCAGTTTACCTGCAGTTCGCCTGCAGTTCGCCTGCAGTTTACCTGCAGTTTACCTGCAGTTTACCTGCAGTTCGCCTGCAGTTCGCCTGCAGTTCACCTGCAGTTCGCCTGCAGTTCGCCTGTAGTTCGCCTGCAGTTCGCCTGCAGTTCGCCTGCAGTTTGCCTGCAGTTTGCCTGCAGTTTGCCTGCAGTTTGCCTGTAGTTCGCCTGCATCACGTTGATGGAGGCTTTTAGCTGAAACATGCTGGTGCCGCCATGTCGTTATTGTCCTCGGGGAAACGGCACAGTACAGAAACAGTTCTGAACCATGACACTCGTCTCGGAGGCTCCGTCCTCATCACTCCGCCTTCTTTTTCAAACTCAGTTTTAAAATGTGAGGATGGAGCCTCACAGATGAGCAGTCAGAAGCAGGCAGGTGGAGGGAAGGTGATCCAAAGAAAGGTTCGTGGGAGGGCTGGTCCGGTAACAGGGGGTGTTTGCAAATGTTTTTCTGACCTTCTTTGGTGAGTATTTTAGGAGGCGACACAATAAGCGGTTTCATGGCGGATCTCTGTGGTGAAACTCAGTGACGTCGTGGTGAAATTTCATACCTCCTCCACTGAAGTGAGAAACTCACAGAGAGGACGATCACAACCTCCTCTGTGAGGGGAGTTAATGAGCTTATCTTTGTCCTCTGCAGGATCAGTATCAGTTCATCTTCACGGCTGCCGTCTGCATGTTGGAGCGAGTCCTGCAGTCGGCCGGCTGTGAGCCCTACAGCAACCTGCCCGAGGTGAGCGCTTTCACAGGGACTACGAAGGGTTAACTGAAGCTGGGCAGGCAGTTCTCTTTCCACCTGTCTACCTGTGCATCGCTGCGTGTGAACAGGTGTTTGGGGCTTTAAATCAGGAGTTGTGTTGGAGGAAGGAGGAGGGCAGCTGCAGAAAGAGGAAGTGAGGCTGACTTCCTCTATGTAAATTCAGCGCTGCAGACGGTTTGAGAGCAGAGAGAGAGAGAAGTGTCTGCTGATCAACATTTAACATTTAACAGAAACAAGAAATGAACTAAAACTAGAACTAATGGACGACACTGCTGACAGGTAGGTCCACTTTAATCCAGATTAGAACCAGGAAACCTCTGAAGCTGCAGATTAAACAGACTTGTGTTGTCTGATTTATTGTTTCTCACTGATTCAGCCGTTTGTTGAGTCTCTAACTTCTGCTTTACATATAAAACATCTGATATCTGATCTGACCTTCAGTAAAAGTACTAATACCATGCTACAAACTATTTTATTGCTCTTCATGTGTGAAAGATATCAGGGAGTAAAGCCCAGAATCATTTACCGAGTACATTTACTTACCAGTTAACAATCACTTCTAATATCTCTCTGATAAAGGAAGGAATCTCTCTGTGCGTCAGGAACTTCAAACGTGGCGGGTGTGTTGCTGCAGACCGAAGGGATTCAGAATTAATAAATACAGTAGAGGGTGGCCGGCGATTAACCTTGGGTGGTCGGTTAGCTCAGTCAGTAGTGAACAAACCTTACAATCGGAGGGTTGTGTGTTCGGTCCCGCTGACATGAACATATTTATTCCTCTTCAACAAATTAACTATGAATAGACTGTTTCACATGCTCACAGTGAAGTGTTTGCAGGAGTGTGTTGGTCCCGGCAATTGATCCACATCCATCAGCCTCTGGACGCTTCTTTCCATTTCCCAACATCTCCAGGAGAGGAAAGTCCTGCGCTTCTCATTCAGGGGAACCCAACCTCCCGTTTCCTGAGGCTTTGTTAAGCCACAGACTCTTCTGAATGTCTTTCAGAACTTCAAAGTAAAAGCTCTCAGGTCAACTTGGAAAAAAAGCAGTGCTGCACAGACTTTGCCGCGCTCTTATTTTGTAGCACAATCACTGAAGAGGAAGTGATCATGTGAGTAACTGTTTCCGTCATGCCAGAGATCAACATCAGAGTATTTCTTTATTTGGCCCGCAGGCTGCCGATTGTTGACCGCTGCTGAAGGTGACGCCTGTGTGAGCGGCGTCACTCGCTGCAGGAATTAATGATTAGATGAAATTACCAGAACACCTTCAACACGTAGTTAAGGAAAAGGTTGCAGTTTGGTCAGCTTTAGGAAAAGGTTGTGTTTTGCGTAGAATAAGCAGCCTCCATCACATTGCTCACGTGACCTATATCATGTGATTTCATGCATGTGGCTGAACTCACGTTAGTCACGTGACCGAAAAATAAGTAAACACAGACTTGGTTTCACACGGGACTCGAACGCTGTTCTCCTGAGTGAAAGTCCTGGGTTGGTTTGACCCGTCCTTCCACCGCCTTACATGGACTGCTATTACGTCTGCCAGTGTCCCCCTATGCTGCCGTCGTCCGTAGAGGTAAAACCGGCTGTAAAACACTGATTTAAGGTCCTTGGATGAACTCAAGGTCAGCGGTGCTGCAGATTTATGGAGATGTAAAGACACAAATATTTCAGAGTTTTTTAAATGAAACCTGAGACTTAACCGTAATTTTTTTCAGGTAGAGCGTGAAGTGAATGCTTTCTGAGACTTTCAGAGTTGCAGATGAACTAAAGTGTTTTCTGTTTGTTCCACAGCTGAAGAAACCAGAGAAGAACAGCACACCTGCTTCCTCCACCAGGTACCTGATTTATCTGTCTCTGTTCCTCCTTTGGTTTGTTCTCTTGATCTGAGTCTGTATCGGGTTGTTGGTTTGCATGTACCTATTTCAATAACTTTGGTCTGCAGGTTTGGTCCATTTTGGTCTGGTCCTGTCTTGTCTTTAAGTTTAGATGTAGGCGCTTTCACACGCAGACGGAAAGAGGATCAGATTTGATCCACCTCTGAGCCGGGAGCGTTGGTAGTAAAAGCCACATGCCCGTATTGTGTTACTTTAACATTTACTCATTTGGCGGACAAATTTATTCAAAGCGACTAACATCTGAGGAACAACATAGAAACATCAGTGAAGTAAGAGATCTACAAGTGACAGCAGATCCCAGTGAGAGCTGCTCGTACAGCACCAGTGGCTAAAGACCTGGAGGAAGAAGGAAGAGTTAACGACTAGTCCAATCACTACAGGAGAGCTGTGAGGATGTCAGAGGTGTTATCAGAGGAAGTGTTCTCTGCAGAGTGTTCAGGAGCTTCTTGGAGTCAGAGAGGGACGCCGCTGCTCTGATGGCGTGCGGCAGCTCGTTCCACCATCGTGGGGTCACAGATGAGAACAGGGACTGAGGTCGCTTTGTGTGAAGGGAGGCAGAGCCAGGCGGCGTTCGCTGGAGGAGCGCAGTGGCCCAGAAGGAACGTAGGCTTGGATTATGGAGTTTAGGTAGATGGTGCAGACCCAGGAGGAGCTCTGGATGCAGCATCAGGGACTTGGATTAGATTCTGGAGGCCTCAGGGAGCCAGTGGAGGTCCCTGAGTGATGGAGGGACATGAGTCCTTTTGGGCTGATCAGAAACCAGACGGGCTGCTGGGCTCTGAACCATGAGTAGGGGTTACACCACAAAAGCTGGAAGACCCGCCAGGAGGGCAGAGGGGTAACCATGGCCTGGACCAGGAGCTGGGTGGAGCATTGAGGAAGGTGGGCCTGATTATTCTTATGCTGTATAGAGCAAAGCGGCACGACTGAGAGACAGCAGCAACATGAGAAGGACAGCTGACCTTTAACTCTTCAACTTGCCAGGATTGTTGTTTGCCTCTAGTGTTTCTGCTGTTTGGATCACTTGTTTGAACTCCCTGTGAGTGTGTATGCTTTTAGTTTTGTTAATAAATCCTGAAGAGTCCTGCGTTTGGGTCCTGAACCCGTCTGTCAGGGTTTAGACGAATGTCAGTGTGTCTGGATCTAAATCCATCGCATCCATCTGCTGGCAGACAGGATGTCTCACCACAAGGTGTTAAATTAACACTTTCCCATCCCTCCATCCCCATATGTTACGGCGTTATCATGGAAACGCAGCAGAGAGAGGAGACATAGGGGAGAGGAAAGAAAACAGGAGGAGACATGAGAGATTAGAGAATTTAAGAGCAGAGAGAGAAAGAGGAACTGAGAAAAGAAGAAGTACAAGAGAGAAGTTGAGAGGAGACTGAAGAGTGTGAAAAGAAGAAGGGTGAGAGAGAAGGAGGGGGTGAGAAGTGAAAGAGGAGAGCAGAAGAAGGGAAGGGAGGAGGAAACAAGAAAGAGATGAGAGCAGAGGAAACAAGGAGATGAGAAGAGAGGAAACAAGAAAGGAGAGGAAGCAATGAAGGAGATGAGAGGAGAGGAAACGAGGAGATGATCATGATTAAACCACAGTATATATCAAAAATCAGTGTAACCATGACGACTGTGGTCACACGGCCGCAGCAGGAAGTTGAGAGTGACTTCCTGTTGAGATGTAAATGTGCAGCAGCAGCGTTAACCGCTTCACTGCTGATCTATATTGTTTGCAGGAGCCGGTTCACTGTGCGTCTTCAAGAGTCAGTCTTGCAATGCATCATGGTACCTGGAGTTCAGTCCAGTGCAGTCACTGGTTCTGCAGTTTGGCCTCATGTGGCCAGTTTTTCTCGTAGCTTAGTTGCTCAAAAGTCTCGTTCCTGATTGGTTCACTCAGCCTCCTGTACATGACATCACAGCTAGCTTATAGTTAGCTTAGCTAGCTCACTGTGTGTGTGGTGAAAATGCTAGTGCGCTCTGATGCTAAGGTATCAGAACGACTTATTTATACTTCTACAGACACATTGAGACTAATCAGCTCCACCTCAGCAGCTGCTGTTCGTTTATTTAACAAACAGGAAATTTCTGTTAGCAGCTAGCATTCCTTTATCCTTCATCGTCTTATCGTGTCTTTGCGTGTGTCAACAGACTGTTATTGCCGACTGCCATGAGTGATACATATGCTGTGGTCAACAAGCCCAAACACCCCCACCCGCCTTCAGCAAGCCCCACCTACTCAGTTGTAGCCAAGCCCAGATACTGCAGCGGGAGCAGGTAGGGAAACACCCTGAAGAGAGTTTCTGTGTGACTGCATGATAAAGATGTGTTTTTTATATATACAGATGAAGTCATGATTAACTTTGCATATCGGTAGTTTACTGCGTTCTCCTGATAATTAACCCTCAGGTCGCTGCCCCCGGACCACCACTATGATAACGACCCTGCAGGAGCATCAGCGGCGCCGGTCTACAGCACCGTCCGACCCCGAGTTAAACCTCTCAGCATGCACCTCTCTGCCACGCCCACCTACGACATAGCAACACCAGCCAATCCCAGGCTGGGGGAGGGACCGGCATCACTAGGCAGCAGCGGAGAATATCACCTGATGCCAGGTAACAAGGAGAGGAGAGGAAGGAGGCATGGATGAAAGAAATGGGATGATCGATAAGTGACTCTTCTCTGTTCCAGCTGAACCTCCTTCACAATCAGACGACGATTACGAAGACCTCGCCTCTCCGGCCTCAGACATGACCGGCCCGTGTTCACCTGGTGGCATCGGTCAGTACACCTGTACACCTGTCTGTCTGCAGCTCATGTAACACAGTCAGCCGCAGCTTCTCTGACAGCAGACAACATGATCTGTGTAAAGGTGGAGCTGTTAGCTTAGACATTATTGTAGGAATGAAGTATTCTACAGATTATTTTATCCAGTAATCTGATCAGAAATCCTTCTGCTTGGCGCCCTGGCACCGGGTCAGCTGCATAACTGAGAACGGTCAGAGAACAAGAACAAACGCACGTTTCTACATTTCCAGCTAAGAACTTAGCCTTACCTTTGCTTCCCTTCATCTCAGCTAGCAGCCATGATTTAGGCTAAATGCTAACGTTAGCTCGTTGGGGGTAATGGTACCTTTGCTGCAGCTTTGTGTCATCTTACAGTTATTTTTGTCATGTTTGAGCCGACAGAATGAACAAAGCATTAATGCTTTTTAGTAATCAAGTTATTCGAGTTTGAAATGTATTTTGGTATTTTTCAGGGTTTAACTGTCGTATTCAGAAGCCCAGAGGACCCAGAGATCCTCCAGCGGAGTGGAGCCGGCTGGAGAGGTGAAGCACGGGAACCCGGTTCAACTGGACTGTTGGAGTGGATCAAAGTTAACAGGAAGGGATTTGCTGTTTGTCTCCTGCTGTGATCTGTAGATATTTATGGACAGCAGGTCTCCGTGCTAAACGTCTGCACTCCAACGTTTCTGTTTTCTAAATGATTGTGTTCTGACTTTTTTAATATAATTCTTCAGATATGTGTGTGAAAATTCCAGATTTAACAGGAACTGGTGGCTGAATTCTGCCGTCAGGTCCGGCTTCCACCTCAGAACCAGCTCCAGACTTTAGCACTCAGTCTTTCAGGCTGGCGATTGCAGCTGTAACTGGAGGAAGACTGGTCTGAAGACCCACTTCTACTCTCTGGCTTTTACTTTTCTTTAACCTGTTTTAATTTGTATCAGGTTCCTTGGGTTTTGTATTTTAAGGGTCCCACATTATGCAGAATGCACTCTTTCATGTCTTGGTAAGACATGAAAAGATAAAGCTATCTGTCCATCAGGAAACTTAGTAAATGAGCAAGAGTTGAGGCCGAGCAGCCGGAAGACATCAGAACATCTCTATAACACCTGCTCCAGTTTCACCAAAACCAGAGAATAAAGTTAGAAAGGTGTGTTTTTGCACAGTAACCAGTGAGTCCTGGTCCCGCATAGCCAGACATCTACACATTGATTCAGCTAAGTCCTGCCCCTCAGGAGGCTTCCAAAAGTTGGCCAATCAGAAGAACGTGGGCTTTTAGGGAGGGGGGCCCTAAAGAGACAGGAGCTGAAATAAAGCAATGGACAGAATGAGAAAAGTTATGTGTTTGAACCACAGCCGGTATAAAATAAGTGGGGTTGGCCACCGTGACATCCCCCGTTGGTTTGTGGACTACCATTTTGAAGCCTCCAGTTTGGCCGTCGCCGTCTTGTTTTTTTTTTTGGACCAGACGTGACCATATTTGGACGAGAGCGTGGAGCTAGCTAGCTTGGTTAGCAAGGTGCATCTATAATTCACGCTGACTGTGATATTAGCTGGGATGCTAATTTTAGCTAGCGACAAACAGGCTGAAAACTAAACGTACTCCTGATGAGCTTTTTCAGCGGCGCTGGTTAAACAGAGCAGCGTATACGAGTCACCTCTATCCTGATTGACAGGTCGCCAATCAGCTTGTAGCCCCGCCCTAAAGCCTCCCCTGCTTCCTGGTCTCTGTTCCTCTAAATGGGACCATAATTTACTTGATGAACATCATGCTGTGTTGAAGAAGACTTGAAACTAGCGACTGAGACCATAAACCCATCAGGAAAGTGTTTACTGAGGGAATAAATCAGATGACAAGTAGAAACATTTTCTCAGAGACTTCTATACAATCACACTTCTTTCTGCAGCCGCTGGAGTCGCCCCCTGCTGGCTGCTAGAGAGAAAGCAGGTTTAAGGAGCTTCAGCGTTGGCTTCACTTTTCAGACCCGGAGGTTCCTGATTTTTTGAGTAGAAACCCAAAGTAACAGTATGAGTATGAGCAGAATATGGGACCTTTAATCATACCTTATTTCCACAACATCTGTTATGCATATAATATATATATCTGTCTTTGTGAAGCACTGTTTGTGCGCTAAAAATAAACTGAATTTAAGAACACAGACACACTGTTCTCTTGAACTAGAGTTCCCAGCACTTTGTAACAGGAGTGTAAACAAAACCGAAAGTAAAGCCTCAGACTGGCAGAGTTAGTCTGAGGCAAAAGAAATTCAGGTGTTCTTCAGGCTGGTTGGAGTAATGTATAAATTCTTCATCTGTAAACTCTCTAACTACGTGTGCAGCCTTCAGTGTCGAGTCCTGACATTTCACCTGTGGTGGTCTGATGGGAAATGGTATTTGTTAAATGCAGCTAAAAACCATTGATATTGAGTAAACGACGATATTAGAAGTGTATTAAGTATGAACATGACGTGCTGTCTCAGACCAGATGTTCAGTTAAAATGTCAGCAGGACTTTTTACTTCTGCAACAGAACCTGGAAGTTCTGGTTTCACTTCAACAGACTCCTCTTTCAAACTCTTTCAGTTACCCTGGTGACATCATTATGACATCATCTGAGGTTATTTCCTGCTCAGAAGGCATCATATGTGTCGGGGAAACTGACCTGGTTTCTGCAGGTGGTTTCAGGTTGAGGCGCCCAGTTCCACTGCCGACCACCAGGAGGCAGCACAGCAACATGAAACACTGTGTGTGTACTACAGCAAGATGATGAAGTTACAGCTTCACACGCGGTGAAGCCAGGATGAGTGTACAAGGAACACACTGAGGGAGGAAGAAGGTGGTTTCAGTTAAACCTTTGGCATGACTGTGGTGTGTGTGACATCATCAGATATGAATCAGCTTATGAAAGATAGCGTGATTCACACACGACCTGTCCAACACGCTATAACTGTGTGTGTGTGAATCCTTTGCAGCCACAGGACCTTCCTGCACTCCCATCATGCTTTGCTGCAAGCATAGGACTTTTCCAACACACACACACACACACACTTCACCGTCACTCATTCTGATTCTCAAAACCACTAACTGCAACTCTCTCACTGCCAGCTGTGTGTGTGTGCGCGCTACCACTTTGCCACAAAGCACACTCCATTTATCGCCAGCAGTTACCCACACACACACACGTACACACACACACAGAGGTCAGGGTGTTGGCTCGTTCAGCGGTGGAGAGACCACAGGTATCCAGAGAGAGAGAGGAAACGGGGGGATGAAAGAGAGAGAGAGATGAGTAATAAAGAGAGATGGTGGTTTTAAAGTCTTAATAAAACCCTCACATGTCCACGTGAAGAGCTGTGTGTGTGTCATGTGATCTCTATTTAACACAACTTCACTGTAACAGATGGACGACGGAATAAAATCGTAACTCAGAATGAGAATGAGCTTTAATGGCCAGGCATGTGCACACATACGGGGAATTCATGGCTCTCGATGTACAAACTCAGAACAAGCAAACAAAACACACACAGACGAACAAAAACAACAACACTGTAGACAGAAAGACCATAGTGTAATGGAGCAGAGTAAGGTAAGGCAAGCAGCCAATCAGAAATCAAAGATAGAGTTTCATCATTATGGTTACCATGCGCATTAGATTTCAGGCTGCCATGAGCCGCTTAGCATCGTAGCACATCATAGTAAAGCTGGATGAATAGTAAAACATGAGCTCTCTGCTGGATCACTGCGGTGCCAAGTGGCATCATGCTGATGTTTCACCATTACTGAGTTTGATTTTGTGACCTTCTCTGATTCACTGTTGAGCTTTTACTTAGACTCATGCTGTCACTTATCTCTGCTTTTATATTAATAAGACACACATCACAACTTAGCAGTAATTCACGTTATAACATTTGAACACAGCTGCTGCAGCAGGAAAATACAATTACTCGAGTCCTGTAAAGTACGTGTCCAAATCTGTGGGTCTTGAACTTTACTTAAGTATTTTCTTTTCATGCCGCTTTGTATTTCTACTCTGCCACATCTCAGAGGGAAGTGTTGTAATTTTCACTTCTGTCAGCTTTAGTTAGTTTATAAATAAGGTTTTCTGCACAAAACACATGAGGAGTTCATAAAATATGATGTTTGGTTGAACAGCTTCTGCGGTACGGCTGAAACAATCAGGCGATCCATGAACTCCTTCCTGTCGTGCTGTCTGCTGGACTGGACCAGCAGACATTAATATTCAGCTACTGTGTGACCTACAGAGGCCACCGTACTAAGGCTGCGAGTAAACAGGAAGTAGTTGAAAGGAGTTTTATTGACACTCATTATAAGATGCTACAGATGTAAACACACTTTTTAAGAAGCCATAAGTTACATGTTTAGACGTGTGTGATGTGAAAAACTTTGTCTTTAATGACAATGATGAGCACAGAACTGAGAAAGTGATGGTGGGAGAGAGCAAAGGAAAAACAGAGCAAGATGAGTGAGAGGTCGAGAGACAGTTCAACAGATAGTGAGAGAGAAAGAGCTGGCGTGTGTGAGGAAACGAGTGATGAAAAGAGAGAGAGAGTGATGAAAAGAGAGATGGGAACAGGCCGATAGTGAAACAGAGTCCTGCCACCGAGCCTTGTTGCTAGGCAACTGAGCAGCTCCTCTTTGAAGTTTCCCTCATTGTTTTTTTTTTTTTACAATCAGGTCAGAGCAAGGCGTAACCATAGAAACCAGCTCAGCACAAGCCTGGCGGCCGTCCCATCCCCGCGGGGAGGGAGGAGGAAATAGAGAGGGAGGGAGAGAGAAGGAGACACAGAGGGAGGGAGAGAGAAGGAGACAGAGAGAGAGGGAGAGAAAAGGAGACACAGAGGGAGGGAGAGAGAAGGAGACAGAGATGGTGGGAGAGAGGAGACACACAGGGAGGGAGAGAGAAGGAGACAGAGAGGGAGGGAGAGAGAAGGAGACACAGAGGGAGGGATAGAGAAGGAGACAGAGATGGTGGGAGAGAGGAGACACACAGGGAGGGAGAGAGAAGGAGACAGAGAGGGAGGGAGAGAGAAGGAGACAGAGATGGTGGGAGAGAGAAGGAGACACACAGGGACGGAGAGAGAAGGAGACACAGAGGGAGGGAGAGAGAAGGAGACACAGAGGGAGGGAGAGAGAAGGAGACACAGAGGGAGGGAGAGAGAAGGAGACAGAGATGGTGGGAGAGAGGAGACACACAGGGAGGGAGAGAGAAGGAGACACAGAGGGAGGGAGAGAGAAGGAGACAGAGATGGTGGGAGAGAGGAGACACACAGGGAGGGAGAGAGAAGGAGACAGAGAGGGAGGGAGAGAGAAGGAGACAGAGATGGTGGGAGAGAGAAGGAGACACAGAGGGAGGGAGAGAGAAGGAGACACAGAGGGAGGGAGAGAGAAGGAGACACAGAGGGAGGGAGAGAGAAGGAGACAGAGATGGTGGGAGAGAGGAGACACACAGGGAGGGAGAGAGAAGGAGACACAGAGGGAGGGAGAGAGAAGGAGACACAGAGGGAGGGAGAGAGAAGGAGACAGAGATGGTGGGAGAGAGGAGACACACAGGGAGGGAGAGAGAAGGAGACACAGAGGGAGGGAGAGAGAAGGAGACACAGAGGAGGAAACGGGGGGGAGAGAAGGAGACACAGAGGGAGGGAGAGAGAAGGAGACAGAGATGGTGGGAGAGAGGAGACACAGGGAGGGAGAGAGAAGGAGACAGAGAGGGAGGGAGAGAGAAGGAGACACAGAGGGAGGGAGAGAGAAGGAGACAGAGATGGTGGGAGAGAGAAGGAGACACACAGGGACGGAGAGAGAAGGAGACACAGAGGGAGGGAGAGAGAAGGAGACACAGAGGGAGGGAGAGAGAAGGAGACACAGAGGGAGGGAGAGAGAAGGAGACAGAGATGGTGGGAGAGAGGAGACACACAGGGAGGGAGAGAGAAGGAGACACAGAGGGAGGGAGAGAGAAGGAGACAGAGATGGTGGGAGAGAGGAGACACACAGGGAGGGAGAGAGAAGGAGACAGAGAGGGAGGGAGAGAGAAGGAGACAC